TTTTTCAGTCATCAACAGATTCATTTGCAGACGAAGACGGTTTGGGTGTATTACGAGGGGGGGAGGGTGGTGTTAGTGGTGGGGTTGTTGTTGGTGGTGTTGGTGGTGTTGGGGGCCGGGATACGGGTGTGGGGTTTGTTGTGGGGCGATCCCCATCAGACGCTCTGAGTGGAGGAGACGATCCCGAGGAGAAGAGCTTTATGGGGGGTGTAGAGAGGGGCAAGTCTCTGCGTATACAAGTAAAAAAAAGAATGAAAAAACTAAAACAAAAGAAATCATTCTTACTAACTCGAAAAAAAAAAAAAAATAATATAAATAATAATATACAAAGAGACAGCAGAGATACAGATACAGGAGGAGACATAAAAGATAATTTATTATATACAAATACAAACATAGATGCAACCACAGATATTTCTGCTGCTGCTGATGAAACAACAGCAGCAGCAAATCTCTCGCATGCATCTGCTGCAGCAGCAGCAGCAGCAGGAGCAGCAGCAGGAGGAGGAGCAGCAACAGGAGGAGTACCTAACCGGAGCAGCAGCAGCAGCAGCAGCAGCAGCAGCAACTCATCTACTCTGGTTTTAGGTGTATGTACACGGTATGGAGAGGCCCCATACTCAACAACAAAGATAGTTAGTGTCGTACCTAGATATATGTTTATATCTCGTCTCCCTTTTTCTTTAATTATAAGAGAAGTAAAAAATAAAAATAGAGGGTTAGGGGGAGCCATCAGCAGCAACAGAAAAAAAGGAAACCCATATGAAATATATTTGTCTCCGGGGGAGACAAAAGCATACCATGGTGTAGATCCGCGGGTGCTGCTTATACACCGAGAAAAAATATATATATCTTTTCCTTTTTCTTTAGTACCCGCTCACATTCCTTCTTTTTTTCAGGTGGAGTTGACGCCAAAAACCCCAAATTTTTCTTCTCTTTCTCAGGTGTATATACACCAGAAATATCCTATTATACAAGTATCTATTGTCTCTGGTTTGTTTGGTGATGTTGCTGCTCTCCCCTATACATACAACGGTAGTTTTATTGTTCTTTCACAGCCAGAGAACCCTCAGTTCGCCATAATAAATTTATCGAGTTACTTTATAGCCAATGCCCCCGCAGAAAGAAATAAAAAAAACACACATACACACAAAGACAACAACTCATTCGCTATACAGGTGACCAGTGGACCACAGCCAAAACCCATACAAAAAAAAATCAGACAAGATACTGATGCTAACCTCAGAGTAAGCCTTCATATTCTATAAATATATAAATATAAATATGTTTGTAAATATAAATAAATATAAATATATATATATATATAAATATATACATAAATACATATATATATATATATATATATATATGTATATATATATATATATATGTGTATAAATTATCTCTCTCTCTCTCTCTCTCTCTCTCTCTCTCTCTCTCTCTATATATATATATATATATATATATAGATAATGTATACACATATATATATTTATGTATTTTGTATTTCTTGCTGCTTCAACTACTGCTGCAGTTGCTGCTGCTGTATCTTTTGTTTTTCTTTTATCATTCATGCTGCTCATACTCCTCCTCCTCTCCTGCTGCTGCTGCCGCTTCTGCTGCTGCTCCTTCTGCTGCTGCTCCTTCTGCTGCTGCTGCTGCTGCTGCTGCTGCTGCTTGTGTGTTATACAGTTGATTCCTCCCTGGGGTTCAGTACCCTTCATTCCCCCCTACCACAAAAACTTAGAGAACGCGAGAGTGCGGCTGCGGGTGCTGGACGTGGAGCACTGCCCGTGGGCTGTGTATAGCCTGGCTTCAGTTGACGAGGCTCTGCAGACGATAGAGTTTATCCCCCACCAGCAGCAGCAGCAGCAGCAGCAGCAGCAGCAGCAGGGGATGCTGCAGCAGCAACACACTCAACCCAGCAGCAACTAAAAATAATTTTTATAATACCAGCAGAGGGCTCTCATCTGAGGCTTACTTTGACCTTGACGAAGAACAAAACACCACACAAGACGCAGACAACAGGTGATAATATAAATAAAATAAATATAAAAAAATATAAATAAATATAAAAATATATAAAAATAAATATAGAAAGAAATAAAAATACAGAGACAACAGAGGAAAAAGAAAGAAAGAGATAGAGAGATAGGGTTTACTAGGGTTTACAAGGGTTTACGAGGGTTTACAGGGGTTTATAAGGGTTTACTGGGGTTTACGAGGGTTTACGAGGGTTTACTAGAGTTTACGAGGGTTTACGAGGGTTTACAAGGATTTCCTAGGGTTTACAAGGGTTTATAACAGTGGTTTGTGTGTGTGTGTGTGTGTGTGTGTGTGTGTGTGTGTGTGTGTGTGTGTGTGT